CCACTTAATAGTTCGAGCTGTTGATCACCTTTTACCAACAACAGGTTCGTCTGTTAAGAGCCTATCTCGTGAAGAAAGCTGCCGTACCCGTTTGATGTTAGTTTTCACTGGATAAACTTGACAATAATGGCGAGTTTCCTGTTCGGTCTCATATCGGACATCAATGGGCCGAAGGCTTCGTTCCCGATCGTTGAGCTCAGGCGTTCGACATCATATTACTTTAGTTTGTAAATATGTAAATACCTATAATGCAGAGATTTATAGCTGCTGCCTTTATCACATATGTCACTAACTCTAATGCAGAGGTTAAAGATGCTTCATTCATCATCTATCAATATTAAGGTCGTTGGATGGATTAGAAAGTGTTTACGGGTGTGACTAAGACCGATTGCCAACACTGTCACAGTAAAATCGACTTACAATGAACATTGAGTGCAATCGCTTCATAACTTGGCGTACGCGTACGTGCTGATGGAGGTTTAAATGCAAAGTAAGGGCCATTAGTAAGGGTAAAGATTGGGACTGTATTTAATATAGTTATCCTCGATATAGCAATCCTATTTAATCTTCTTTTACCATGCCTAAATGAACATGTATTGCAATTATATGCTCACGACGCGTTGCATTCTTCTTTCGCGGCTTGTCTTCATTGGATAATATCATTGACCTGTATCAACCGATAAGGAGTGAACTACTTCTGCATCATGATGTTACCCGTCGAGATTATATTTAAGAACATCGTGTTTTCCTGATATGATATTTACACATGATGGTTACCTTATTTATTGTATCACATAGAGTACTCACCCCGCTGTAATGATCTGTAGCGCTGTAAACAGCAAAATACGGACGACGGCAATTCATTTATTGTTAAAGCTGAACACATCGGTGGCGGGTGGGTCATTGTACCTGCAAACATTATGTCCATACAAATATTTCTTTGATCTTGATCTGTTTTACTTAATCTAATTATGATGATATAATGCTGAATTTGAGTTACCTATCTCACTTTGAAATTATATCCATATCTTCTGCAGCGGCGATTGCCAGAACATGATGAGCTACGAAGGTCGACGAAACGAAGTAGATGAAGCAATTAGTAATCAGTAAAATATATTCGTGAACTTTATTTACTCATTTTGTTGATGTGATACCATATATACTTATGAAGCACACTAAATTTGTTTGCGGCGTATATGTGCTTGCTATATGACACTTAAATGTGTCTATATTATTTCATATCGAAGAGGACGACTGTAGAGTCCACTGCTATTGAAATCTTGTCCAAACACGAATTTCGTTCTTCATTTTTGACGCTCGTTGACATTAATATGGCTGCGTTGATGCTATTCACGTCATTCTTGTCGTCGGCATTATTAGTGACGGTTTTTCTGGCGACGTTGCTGTTATCCGCATCCTTGGTCAACAGTAATTCATTCGAATGCTAAAAATACTTCGTGAACAGGTTCATCAAAATTGCCATAAAAAATGTATTCGTCATGATGTTGATGAAATTTGCAATAAAAAACATGATAATTGCATGACATGAGTACGCGTACATGACACAAGGTAAGAGTCCCTTCTAGAAATCACTTCATCAATTATTTACTGTATGTGTAGTTTAAAGATAGACGGCTGATTATTGTGCTTTCCATGTTCGCTTTGTAGCTCACGCCAGCATGCAATAGTTATTTTGCAGCAGATGCGATCTCAATTGTTAAATTAAGAAGAGGTTAATGAAGTTCAGGATTATACCATCACAATTAGATTGGGTATTCCAAAACTTTATGTGTACTCATATTCCGATTGGCCAAAATGAATCGCCGGTTCAATGACCCATTTGCGACCGGTACGCTTCAATTTTCACTCCATTTATCTATGCTATACATAATTGAAATTGTGGGGGATTTCTATGCTACCAAGAGGTAGCGTGACAGAAAACTCATACTATTCGATCAATCAAGTACTTCTAGAGCTTCAGATAAAAAAACTCTACACTTACATTTTGCGAAAGGTGCAAGAATTTTGCCGCCACAAAGTGATAAGCATTTGATTGTTATCTCTCTGTTCGTCCGTGGCCACTCTTAGTCCAATCACATGCGGGCATCTGTGTGACTTCGACTCTCGTATGTGGTCGCAATTGTTGGCCTAATCAGCGCGTGATACACTCACCCCTCTCTAAGAGACTCTTTAGGGGATGAATCCTCTATACAAGAGTCACAGTGTCGCCGAACATTTCAAGCGATATAGAAATTTTTATAGCTTTCACTTTTATAAGCAAGTTTGATATAAGACACGAATAACACTCGCAAAATTGAGTGGAACCCTCGTTATGTGACTCACTTCTGCTGCTTGAAAGAAACACGTGACACATGATGTGGAAGTTGTTCAAGCCGAATATTTGCCAGAATTTAAAGCCGATTCAGTAACGCCATAGGACTTCGGCCGTGACATGAAAACAAAAAGTGTGTCATTATGGCGATTTTATGACACATTCATTACTAAATTTATATGATAACAAAAACAGCAGACAAAATTTAATAATGTCGTAAGGCAATATTTAGGGAGAAGTAATACATAGTTTCTATGACTACTCCAATACGCATCTAATGCAACACGTCCACCAGGAAAATATCACCTCTTGTCGACAGTAACCATTGAGTTCAACTAAGCTATTATAACCTTTCACTAGACCAGAAGTGCAAAGTCTTACAGCACTACAAATAACGCTTTAATAATACTTGAACGAAATAAATACGTATACAAGCCTTCAGCTCTAGCACAGCATAAGTAAATTAACGGCGCATCGACTCATGGCCATGAAGTAAATTGACTGCGAGGGCTCAACTTAAGCTTGAATAAGAAACGAATATTAAAGCATCTTAAGTTCAAGAAGGAGCTGCTGATATTTATTCTCGAGCTCGAGGGGGACGGTCAATCAAAGATCTGGTCCTGGAGAAGCAGAACGACTGCGACGGAGCCATGACATCGAATATTATGCTCTTATGATTGCCAAAGAATGGCTGAGATTTTCAAGAAGCGGGAAAAATCAAAATCCGCCCGTTTACCGGCGAAAGCGTGAGCTTCTGTACTAAATCGCACAAGCAGCACTTGGATCCGATCTTGATTAAGTCATTTTCCAAGTGATGTGCTTATCTTTGATGAGTCTAATTTATTTTACAATTTGTCACTCAACGAAATCTTCTCTACGGTTTGAAACAATGGCGCGAAGAGAGTAAATCTACGAATTATCGTTGCTCTGCTGCAACGCAAGTGGGTCTAAAAATAGGAGCCCATCATGATCGGAAAGATTTGAATAAAACCAAGATGCGTAAAGGGTGTAGAGATCGAGAAGCATTTCGTCGCATACGCTACAAACGGCATTGCCTAGATTGATGAAATTATCTATGATAAGTGACTGCATCGACGTTTTTTAACTTCGAATGCATGGCCGCAAAGAGCTTCTTCTTCTTCTTGGAAACGCTTCCACACACAAAGTCTGACGATAACTCAACAACTTCACTGTGGTTTTTCCCCGCCTAACATGACTTCCACCATCCAGCTGCTCGATTCAGTTACGGATAAATACCAGCTTTGTAAATACGCACCTACATGTATGGAAATAAATATCATCCGATCGTTAAGCGGTTGCTACAAGGAGCTTTTGTATGTGATGTCACTTGGACCGGATTGGAGCTAATGTGGAACGTATACTTAATGTCTTGGAAGCCATTGAGTTTGCAGCTGGGGGCTGGAACAGTATTGGTGGTGATCATTTAAAACTAATGGATCAAGAGTGAGACCTTCGAAGCACCAAAGATTTCTGCGTGCACAAAATGATCATTAAAAGTCCAGTCTTGACTTCCAACAAACTTCTGCGATCTAGCTGATACGATTGAAAGTCTAGGGGTAACCGTAAGCGATTAGGATCATGTCAAATTCCTGGACCACGAGCAGATTCACGAAGTACAAGATGCTCCTATTGAATTAGAAGAGGAGCCCGCGCAAGTCAAAAGTGACAAAGATTAAGTGCTCGTCAGTGCAAATGAAGCACTAAAGTGCTGCCAACTTTTGCGTTCGGAGTCCATACGCTCGTATAAAGACACGCGTATCGTTCAGTCAGATCAGGATAAGATTTCATCAGCTATTCGAAAGAACCGGCACGCTCGAGCGAAAGAGCTCGACATGGGAGACTTAGATAGTAAGCAACGTTACATATCATTACATACATGGGCGTGTTCGGTGGCGTTACTTGAATGTCCCAATCTTTAATCGTTCAGTCGGTATAAGATTTTGCAGCTAATTTTTCTCCTTTCTCTGCGAGACATCTTATAAGTCACGCTGGAAAAATTGGGCACAAAGTTATCTCTCATAGAGAGGGGCAAGTGTAGCTATGATGCATATCTTCCTATGAGGGGGGGGGCATGCTACATCGCCCACTTAGTAGAAACGTACGGTACGCCTGCGTTATTTACACACACAGATGGATAAGTACGATTAAAAGTTTGGCTTTCGCCTGGCGCACAGTTACCAATAACTTTGCCCTTCGGGCTCGCAATAAATCTGGGTGAATTTATCTGTACCATGATGCCAGTTTTGACATACAGACTACCGTATCAAAGTTTACAAGCTTGAGGCAGCTCTTGTGACGACAACTAGCATTATGTTTGCCTTGCTAACGGATTCGACGTACATCGACGGTCTTGTTAGACCTCATTGACCGCGCACGAGTGGGTCCACTCGGTGAATGAAAAAGATTTACGCAAAACTTCCATCTAGTGTGCTGTCACTTGCAGTTTCATTCACTCTTCTTTGCATGGCTTCAACGTCGCAACCGTCCGGATCATCTCACTGCTCGCACGAATATCATACGCTTACAACCGCATTCCACTCGTTCGGGCACTTGACCGAAGTTAGTGACTACACGCGACGCAATCACTGCACTGTATTGTTGTCATCGGTTCGCGCATTCTGCACGATACATTCACGAACGAAGCAGTTCAATTGCCAGCCGTACTGCCGCGACGGAAGCTGAATGACTTCATCGACAACCGGGATGATGAACGCGGTGACGACGACTGCATACTAGCTGTGGAAATGCTCTCTCGTGAAGCGCTCTTCACACGGCGCTTGTACACGCACGTATCTTGGTCCACACGAATGCCCCACTGGAGGTACTCAGCGTTGGTGGCAGCTTCGAGAAACTGGTTCAGCTTTGCCACACGGTCTTGGATAATCTTTTCTGAAAAATTGCCAAAAAGTTGCTTGTTCGGCAGCTCCGGGATCTCCTTGCGTTTGTAGCCGTTCTTCGTCTGCAATGTGGCTGCTAGATTACGGAAGGTGCTGTACCGGTGCCACACGTACAGCGTACCGCGCGTGTTGGTCTCAATTTGCAGCTTGTACTCGACAAACTGTCGACCTTCGCGATACGTGATTCGGCTGTCTACTACCTTAGCAGAAATAAGAGACACCTCCTGAGAACGCACTAGCTTCGTCTGGAGCTGCAAGACCTGCTGCTTCAGACGCTCATTCTCACGCAGTAGCTCGGCGTCAGCGTACTCGGCTACATTAGACGACAAAGTAGAACGCAAGCGATCGTTCTGTGCAACCAGCTCACGGTTCAACTCCAGGGCAGCCTCAGCGGCCGATTTGGCGTCGCGAGCTGCAGATTCCGCCTCGGCAACCTTAGAGGCCGCTTCCGTGAGAGCACGGAGCGTACGCGGAGACACAGGACCCGCCATTATTTCCTCTACACCCTCCTCATCCTCCTTATCGCTTTCATCACTCCAATCATCTTCCACTGGCTCCTGTCACACAACAACTTCCTTAGTAATGCTAAGCGGGAACCAACATGTCGAATAAATATCAAGCTTACCGGCTGGGGATCGTTGTGATCACGTTCTTCCATCTCCTTTTGAAGTATGCGCTCTTCAATCTCCTTCTGGAGAATGCGCTCCGCCACCTCTTGCTGGGCAATCTTGCGGAGACGTTCCCGATCAAGCTCGCGCTCCTTTCGAACACGATTGAGGAGCAATCCGAATAGGTAACGCTGCTTGCGGCCACGCTCGAGAGACTGCAGCTTAATCATTCCAGTGCGCAGAGTACGGTAACGTCTCGCCTGGAAGCTACCGCGCGTCCTGGACTGGATCTCAACTGCAGCATTACGCTGGCGCAAGAAGCGCTTGCGATACACGTAGCCATGCATTACTTTCTGAACGAGGATCGCATGATCTTTCAGGATCACGTTGCGGCGGTCCTCTAATCGCTGCAACAGACCCGAGCTAAAGTAGACCTTCGTCGAGCCAACAGCAAATTTGGTGTTTTGCATGCTGGTAGCAATGTCGGGCACCAACTCCTTCAGCAGACCAGCTACCATGTCACAAGGTTCCGCATCGCGCATCGCCGACGGGCAAATAATCTGGAAGCGCTGCTGGAACTCGACAAGCGGCAAACGATTGGGAAAGGCCGCACGACTGATGCGAATAGCAGCAATCACACCCGCGCAACGTAACTGTTCCACAATCATGACACGGTTGAACTCCACTGCACTCTTGTTGGCGTTCGGCTTGATGCAGCGCACATACTGCGATGAGGTCTTGTTAATGGTCAGCATCAGTTCTGACAGTTGCTTACGAAACGCACCAGCGATAGTGTTACCCACTAGAAAGCCCTTCTGGCGGCCTTCTTTTCCGTTCTTGCCGCGGCTGCTACGCTTGCTCGCCTGTGTGGGCGTGAAGATACCTGAAATGACTTCGTTGTGGCTACCAGACAACAGCTGCACCATATCCGTAGGTAGTGTGTCCTTGTTCTTCTCTAAAAAGCCCGCACCGTTGTACGTCACATCTCCAGCATAATGATGGATAGTGAACTCCAATGGATTGATTCTGTTCTTCTCAATACTCGGGTGATCACTGCAAGCGTCCAAAACCTTGCTCACAAATGTGCTGTCAGTGGCCTGAGGACGAAGCACTTCCTCGTTTAGCATACTGACGATTCCCATTCGGCCCTCAATGAGGTCTAGGATCGGTTGGTTGTCCTCAAAAGTCACCAGGGTTAACGGAATCCCTTCATCCACATATTCCTGTTGGACATCCTTGAAGACGTCGCTATTAAACTTCTGCTGCAGCTTTTCATTTGCATAATTAATGCAAAGTTGCTCAAAACCGTTCTGGTCAAAGCTTTCGAAACCAAAGATATCCAGCAGACCAATGTGCGTCTTGACATTGTTTGTGGAGCAAATAGCCTTATTAATACGATGCACCAACCAGTCAAACAATTGCGTATACATGCCCTTTGCCAACGCATCACGTAAATCCGATGCCTGCTCAGCATTCAGCGGAATTGTATACGACTCGGAACCAGCCGTTATCGAGCGCTCCAACAACGTCGAGTGGAGCGCTGCGCTCTTGGTACACAGCAACGCACCAATATTGTCCACAATGTCCTCGTTACTCACATGGCTCTTCTCGCTGTCATTGGCGTTTGGCGCAAACTCCACTTCACCAAGGTTCAAGATCGCTGCCACAATCTCAAAAATAGCATTCTGTTCTTCAGTCGAGATACCAATCGTATCTAGAGCATCCTGCGTCTCCTTAAGACACTGTACATCATCAATGCCCGTCAATTGAGCTTTCGCCCCTTCCGCCACGTACTTGTAGCTCGTGACGTCGCCATGTAGCCTGAGCTCTTTCTTCCGCTCGTCAGACAAGCGAAAGATCTGGTAAAACACGTGGTAATTGCGTTCGCCTTCCGTCTGACCCACGACACGACTCTTTTCCAGCAAATACGTCTCACAGAGACACCCGACAAGAGACCCCATCGTGTCGAATTGAAGCTGCGCAAACTTGCCAAAGCGACTCGAGTTGTCATTCCGCTTGGTCTTGGCATTCCCAAACGACTCGAGCAGTGGATTCGACTGCAACACTTGGTCAATCACCGTCGTGCCATGATGGCCACCGCCTGATATCGAGGCCAAGTAGTTCATCATGATCTTGACCGTCTCTGTCTTTCCTGCGCCCGACTCGCCACTCACGAGGATACTCTGATCCACTTGTGTCCTTTTCATGTCCATGTACGCCGTGGCAGACAGGGCAAAGGGGTGTGGTGGTAAACTATCCCGCGGTCGCTCTAGGTATTGTTCATAGAGCTCGCGACCGTACAGATCGAGCCACTGGTACGGGTTCACGGCAATACAGATGGCGCCTGTATACGTATACGGCAACTTCTTGGCAAACCGGAGTTCCAAGTTCTTGAGCACCGCCGGTTCATGTAAATGATTGAGCGTGCACATGTCGCAGGCGCCTTCGGCTTCAAACACGTTGCAAATGGGCATCGCGTCGTCTGCGACTTCGCCGGCGAGGCGCGCGATCGCGCTCACAGTCACGACTTTCTCCACGCCGTCGTCGGCGTCGTACTCGCCGTCGTCTTGAGCCTGGAGACGCACGAGGGCGCGCGCCCCGTCGTCCAGGCGGCGCACGACCACGGCCTTTTTCCACACGTGCTGCTCGTGCGGGACCCAGACCATGGCCCCGTCGTCGAGCATGCGACCAGCAGCAGCCGCAGCGTCTTCAGCCATGAGAGAGTAGAGAGGGGAGGGAGAGAGGGAGGAGGAGAAGCGGGCGCGGCTTTTTTCGCCTTGGCGCTTTTCTTCTCTCGCTGGAAGTGTGTGTGTGTGTGTGTGAGAGAGAGAGAGTGTTAGTCGGTGGTGGCTCGAGAGTGATGGTCGTCGGTCTGTTTCGTGCAAAAATGACTTTTGGACCGTTACGGGGGCGACGACGACAGCGAGAGAGTGTGCGCGTCGCGTCGTCGCGTCGTGGGGGTGGGGGAGCGAGAGTGAAGGTTTATGTGATTTGGTCGGGCGTTTGCGACACTGACTCTCGACGTCGAGTGGGATTGAATATAAAAGGGAGGCGCGGGGAGGGGTGAATGAGAACGATTGACGTGGGGGAGGGGTTAAATTGGGTAATTGGGAAGGGAAGGGGTCGGGCGATGCAGCTCGATGTGAGCGTGGCCTTTTTCAACTCTTTTTTTGCGCACGACATGTGACATCTCGTTTAAGTATTCGGTTCTATTTCTTCGTCTGGATTGTAGCACGAGGCGGTGGTTGCCTGGCCGTTTCCTTCGCTCGAAACGGCTCACACAGCGAATTAGCGCTTCTCGCGCGTTTCGATTGCTTTGCGGGTTGCAGAGATTACGGTCGGGACCAAACGTGTTGCTAGTTGTAGCCAGATGACGATGTGGCGCCATGCGACAACGCCATCTCAATGTTATGCAGGATCAATCTCGTGTATTCTTGTGCTTGGGAAACAACAAGGATGGAGCAGAAGTTTGTAATTTCTTGTATTAGGAGGAAACGTCAACCGGCCTCTGGTGCACGGAGCGAAAGTATCGATATTTCTGGAGGCTTCCTTTTACTTTTCTTTCATTGCGATGTATGGCACTCAATTCCACTTTGTACATATTAAGCAGCTTTAGCACAGGCAAGTGCGCTACCGTCTTTGCACGAAGTAGGTCTGCTAGTTTAAAGTAAGTAGGTGCAGGTGTGGAGCTATATCGTTCGTGTGTCGTCCGTCACCTAAAGACATTTTGCGAAAGAGTGGCTGTGGTAACTGAACTGTCACATCACTTGCACTGGTGACTACTTTTGTTCGGTAGTTGAGGTCCGAGTTAGTGCGAACGTCATGGTAAACGCGATAATAAACATGCAGACCGCTTTGTTCACCTTCGTGTCAACATGAGATGCAGGAGGGTGGTAATTTTCTGTTTGCAAGCTCAACTGATCGTGATAGTTCCGTGTGTGAAGACTTAACATTCGACGTACGTCCAATCATCTAAGCAAGAGCTCGTCATCAGCAAAATCGCACCCTTCTACCCGTCAGCGTACACGTTCAGGTTTCGAGCGATAGCAATTTGGACACCTGATGGAGGGATCAAGCATGCACGCAAGCATGCACGCCTGATTGATCACGACAAATGCTGGTACCTGCACATAACATTGATGTCGGGAAGAGCAAAGACCACGTAAGAAAATGATAGGAGCACGTGATCCAATACCAGCAGGCACTAAAGTACAAAGTCACATCGCATGTCTCGATTAGCGGTCGAAGAAAGTCGCGAGCTGCTCTGTAGCAGCCTTTATACTTCGCTACGCTTTTCTGAGAATGACACACGTATGCTGCGTCATGCGGAAGATCAAACACTAAGACAAGTGCATGAGAGTAAAGACAATCTACGGGTCCAGCTGCCAAGGTCACAGTAGCCAAGATATACATGCGCAGGTGTTCTACTTCCGTCGTGAAAAGGATCGAATTCAACTAGCCAGATTCAAAACCAACTCGAACGGCCTGGTCGTATAGTAACAACTATCACGAGCTAAGGTCATATACCTCGTACGCTGACTCAGCCATACCTCCTATTATAACAAGGATCCAATACACGCTGATGGCATGACGTTTACCATCGAAACAGGATAGCAAGGAATACAACAAACCGCACAAGTGAGGAACGATCTAACTTGCATCGCTGCCTGTTTAGAGCCACTTTATCTGTCCAGTACTACCAATGTGAGACAAGTCCATTCGCTGCTAGCTTTGGTTGGATTGATCAAATCTAATCAGATGCTAATGGTACAGCACCAATCATATACTTCAATTTGAACCAGCATTTCTAAACGCCGTCATACAGCAGGCTGTCAGTCGATGATGACTACAAACGCAAAGTGGACGAAAGATAATGGGTTGAAAGAAATGAGGGATGGTCTGCTGGAAGTGCTGTGTTACCCTGTTTGTTGACGACCTGATGATAGTGCTTGACGTAACCGACGCTGAGATGGCTATCCGTCAAACGATCTGACGATTGCAATCATTCAATGGATCAGATCATTTAGAAAAGAAGGGAGGAAGTTCCGAAGCTCGCCTTTTGACAGAAGTATCTCAAGCCGTAGAACTGAAATAAGTTTTTTCTCACATACCCTTTCGGGTGGTTAGCGGCTGAGAAACGGGATGTGCGTTTTGTGTGAAAATGCAAAGAGATTATTGGCTGGGTGCTCACGCAGTACACACACTAAAAACACAGATAAGTACCATTTAAAAGTTCGGCATCCAGCGATGTATCTTGTTATTATATCTAAATACCATGAATGGATATTTGAGAGTGAATATTGGCCTTTTCGCGCAATATTAAAAAGGGCGATCATGAGTAGAAAAATGAAGTCATTATCGTAGTCGCCGCTACGCAGTCTACTGGTTGTTACAGCATACCACATACATTCAAGCTTCTGTGCTATGACAATAAAATTTTCCTTAACCATAATTGCTTTAAATATCCCCCTCAACCTCCTGTGGTGTCGTTCCGGTCCTCCTCCGTACCTCCAAAGGCAGTCTGGAATAAAACGTAAAAAAAGTATTAAAGATTATGGTTAGGATGCACAAAGTAGCTACACATTTATTGCTGTACTCATTAAGCTAACAAGATCATTGTGCTTAGCTCGGACAACTCTCGCAGTGGGGTCGCAGAACAAACGGACAATCCAGATCTCTTTTGTCTACACGTAAAACGATTAAAAAAAGGTGCAAGTGTGCGTATATGATCACACGAACTCATTGAGTATTTTGATGGCTGCAAGTCCTATACTTGGGCGAAACCGTGAAATTGAAATATTCGGCCAGCTTGAAAAATGTAACCTCGTGAATGGTATTGCATCGTTCCCTCATCTTTTGCAAACTATAATTTGAATATAAAAATGACTAATAAAGCAGCAGCTTGTATATGCTGAACTGGAGCTGATTGATAGTTGATTATTCATAGGCGCCTTAAGCTATATGCGGCTAGATGGACGACACTTTTGCAAGTAGTATTACGATTATTTCTAACATATCGCTGTGCTATAATAATCAAAAACTGTTAAGATTGATTTTGAATCCAAAGAATAATTATTTAAATATCAGGGTGCAAATACCATATTTACAGGAAGATTGAATTTAAGGTAAAAATGGCGTGAACGTATTAGTGCCATAAAATCAAATTCACGTTTACTGCTTACTAAAGATGCGAGACTTTCGTTGTAGAGACATTGAGAATTTGCTTGTAGTGCTTAACCCCATAGATTCAATCACGTACGGGCACTAATGCGTTTGTCTAATGCATACACCTTGCAGTGTAACTAAGACCTAGTCAAAGAGTGACGCCAGTAAAGCATATCTACCTATAAGGAGGGTGTAGTCTACACCGCGCTTATTACGATGAGTAAGGTACACCTAGCACTATTGACAGACAGACAGACCAAAAAAATTAACAGACGCATACGGTGCCGATACATGTACACATATAGAGACAGACGTAGAGAAAGGAAGTAGATTTTATAACTTTGGTACCACCTCGCACTCAGTCGCCTATGACTTCATCCTTCAAGGCTCTCATATTTGTATGGATCTGCAGTTGAGACTTAGCCCTTCGTCGTGGTAACCAGTACACAAAGATGGGGACTTTGTATGGATTTGTAGAGGCAAGAAAAGAGTACAGCACTGCAGAATCGCAAATTCTTACATTTGAAAGATGTGAGTGCAGCCACCGACGGGCTTGTGCTGAACATGGTGGAAGTGACATGCTTTGTCGAGGTTGTAAGGTTTCGATTTAATGAAGACTTACCGGCAAGATATTTTACTGGGTTTACAGGACCGACTCTATCGAAGCATGGGTTGATCCCAAGGACATCGGTATATAAGGCTTATAACAGCAGTATGTATTCACTGTTGTATTTTCATCCTGCATGGGAGTTTTGTTTCCCTACAATAATTCGTAACGTCGACGAGCACATCGCAAATGTCATACTTGTTTGCCCTTCATTCAGATAAGTATATCCTCAAGTAAACGCTCTGATTGAGCAGTTTGGTAAATAATGCACGCACAATTTTTTCATACGTCAAATGATAATGTCCGGAATGATTCTAATGCTCATTTCAGCCAACACTTGACAGTACATGTACGTATCGACTACTTCCCGATACCAATTCGAAACATGTGTCCACCCTAACTTTACACTAGCTTTAATATATGCCGTTCTTGGCGCTCATCTCGATAAAACATCGTATGGATCAATTCTTCATAAAGCAAGACAGATTTCTTTTGACGATGAAAAGTCTTGAAGCAAGTACTACCTTCGAAATGTCACGTCAGTGTCGATCGGAACGCAGACGCTGTCTTTAACTCGTGAATCACGCACGCGACTGATGCTCTAGGTTAACAACACGTCAGTTATCTGCTTACTTTCTTCATCTTAGAAGCGTCGCCAAATGATATATAGAGGAAAAACACGTTGTATCGCTAAACTTTTCGATGCCGTATCACACAATGACACGATTTCTTGGACCCAATATCCCCACGCCATTTTATCAAATATTGGTATTGGCCATGACAACGACTCCACTAAAACATTTCTCGACATGTCCACATGAACATGAAGGTTTCCCCGATTTAGTAACGCCCATAGAATCATTTGTATCTGCGAGAGATCATACGCTTTTCATGGTTCATATTCCTTAAGGCTTGGTGCAGAATCAGAGCTCACTTGAAGCGCTG